TATGCATTGAAGATTCGCGATTTTGCGCTATCATGGTGCCTTTGCTAGGGACTTGCCCGGCACTTGCTCTCTACCTCTATTTGTTATCTTTCTTCTATCATTGACAGTCCCTCTAGGTTGTGGGCTGCTTGCCTGTGTTCCTGAGAAGCATCTACGGTACCAGTCTATAGAGTGTGTTTTCTTTAGTGAATTACCGGTATGTTTACCGGTAATAAACTTGCACTGTTTTATGTATATGTTTGATTACATACAGCCTTGTGACAGTTTTCCTGCATGTCATAAGCATTTGAATATAAATTAAAATGTTAAAATCAAATCTGATATTGTTTTACCTTTTATTTGGTGTGTGGAAGGTGTGCGGAAGAGGGGGTAGTCTTATACGGCGAGTATATAACAAACTCTGTATTTTGAGTGGAAATGTTAGGGGGTCGTCTTATACGCCCAGTCGTCTTATACGCTGGCAAATATGGTATATATGGAATCTAATGAACAAAATAAAACTCTCAAACAAAATAAAAATAGAGGCATGGATACACGGAATACTGACAATTCTCAGCATGGAAGGGGGGAATGGATGAAAGAAGGTAAAGGGATTAATTAAAGAACATTATGCAGAACCCATAGACACAGACAACAGTGTGGTGATGGCCAGAAGGAAGGGGGAGTGGGGCTGAGTGGAGATGAGCAATGAGAGGGGGAATGGGACATCTGTAATAGTGTCACCAATAAAAGTAAAGTTAAATAAAACCACTAAAATTTAATATTCCAAACATGTTATTATCTGTTAAAATATTGAGTAATCTATTGATTTCATAAAATGTACGTTTTATAGTTTCTTTGATTTTCAATATATTTTATTGCACACTCTTCAATGTGTTAACACTCTACAGTGTTAAGATATATTTGATAATAGCATAGTTTTCAACGGTGTCCATGGCACTCACCAGCATATGATTTAGTCCCAGCTGCAAAAGAACAAAAGAGAAAATCATTTTTTTTCTTTTCTTTTGTGTTTTCTCTCATTGTCTCTTCCATTTATGTCTGTTTTTGTCATATTTCTTCTTCTGAATCATTTGGACCTTCTCTTTCTCTACTATATTCTCATATTCCATTTTTTCAAACATGATGATAAAACTTAGGTGAGGATAGCTAGAAATAGGAAAGCAACTAAAGGTGGGAGGGGAGCAGGACAAGTGGAAGAAGTGTGGCTAAGATAAAGACAGGAAGGAAGCAGGAGATGGGGAGGAACTTGTGGCTTGAACTTTAGAGAAAATTATTGAAGTTTAGAAAGATAATGCTTTAAATGCTTTTTTCTGACTAAAGTATATTTTATTGTATTACTGTACCCTATTCTACTGCTATAGGGTAGAATCAAACAAAGACAGAAGATTGAAAGCTTTGAGAGATAAGCATAACTCAATTGAGCCTTCCTCCCATCACCCACTTGTAGGAGCAAGATTAATTAAGATCAGAAATAACATCATGAGAGAAAGTAGATATGGCTTCCTGTGCTATAAATAATATCAATCATTTGTCTTTCATTGAAGCTTCTACCTTTTTTCATAATAAAATGCAAGCACACTCACAAGACAGATATTTTTTAAGGTAATGAGGAGAATACAGTACAAGCGTTTTCTGACCAAAACTGCATCTGTAGCACTCACTAGTCATATGAAGCCTGCCACACACATTAAAGAGATATATTCCCAAATACCATTCAATCTGAAAACAAAATAAAATATTTCTAGAAAAGATGAATATTATACTTTCAGAAACATCTTAGGATATGAGCTTCTCAAGTCATTTACAGAAAAAAAACTAAAATTTATATATATATACATATATATATATATATATATATATATATATAGTGTGTGTGTGTGTGTGTGTGTGAAAAAATTCTTCTATATTCATAAAGTATTTGCATTTTATAGAATTATCTACTATGCCAGTGGTTGGCAAACTGCGGCTCACAAGCCACATGCGGCTCTTTGGCCCCTTGAGTGTGGCTCTTCCACAAAATACCATGTGCGGGCGTGCATGCACAGTGCGATTGAAACTTTGTGGCCCATGCGCAGAAGTCAGTTTTTGGCCTGGGCGAGTCTATTTTGAAGAAGTACTGTTGATATTTGGCTCTGTTGACTAATGAGTTTGCCAACCACTGTACTATGCCAATAAATTGCATAAATATAAAGAATAAACCCTATGGTGGGTAGAAAATAGGCCCAGGAAATTTTGTGTAAAATATTTGTATATTGCCCCCCCCCCTTTTTTTTGCTAAATCCCTCCAACAACATGGTGATTGCTGGAGGGAGAGGTTGGGGGAAGTGGAAGGGACTTAAATCGTGATAGATGGAGATTTGACTTGGGGTGGTGAACACATAATTTAATGAACAGATGATGTGTTGTGAAATTTTGTGTTAACGAGTGTCACTCCAATAAATTCAATAAAAATGAGAAATATTTGTATTCTTTTGAACCCTTAGGTAATATGATTAAGGGCATTGGATGACTGAGCCTCATTTTACATTTGACAAAAAAATGACATCAGAATTTACACATTTCTGATAGGACAGTGGATGGAGGAACTTAGCACGTTTGTTGACTACTGCCATCTCTGAAGGTTTGGGGAAGTATCAATTACATAGCAATAGGCTCTAATACATGACAGACATACAGCATGTGTGTGTGTGTGTGTGTGTGTGTGTGTGTGTGTGTGTGAGAGAGAGAGAGAGAGAGAGAGAGAGAGAGAGAGAAGGAGGGAGGAATAGAGAGAGAGATTAGAAACTTTGAGTACATCAATCTAAAGCTCTCATAAACTAATGCTTATAATGGAGAAATGAACAATATGGAATGAAAAAAGAAGAAATAGCAAAGAATGGAACATAAATGGAGAGAACTTAAAATAGGAGAAGTCCATACATAAAAGTTGGTTAAAAAGGAGAAAATTTATTAAATCAAGAAAAACAACTTAGTAATATTAGTATGACGACTCCCTTTAAAATGTTCTTAATCCCTTAATACTTGATATTATTTAAAGTTTTATTATTTGACTAAAGGCCCAGTGCACTAAATTCATGCACTGGGATGGGAGGTGGAATCCCTCAGCCCAGCCTGCACCTTCTCGCAGCCCAGGAGCCCTCAGGGATGTCCGCTGCCAGCATTGAGCCTCTTCCCCCTGGTGATCAGTACGCATCATAGCAATTGGTTGTTCTGGTTGTTCCACCGTATCGGTCATTTTCACTTTTATTATATAGACGAGAGGCCCGGTGCACAAAAATTTGTGCACTCGGCGGGTAGGGGGCGTTTCTCAGCCCGGCCTGTGCCCTCTAACATTCTGGGGCCCTTCGGGAGATAACGACCTGCTGGCTTAGGCCTACTCCCGGGTGGCGGAGGGCAGGCCACCAATCCGTAGGTGCAGCCCCTGGTCGGGCTCAGAGCAGGGCTGATTGGGGAGTTGCGGTGCTGCCTCCTGTCATGCACAGAGCAGGGCAGATTGGGAGGTTGTGATGCCACCCTCAGTCACGCTCAGGGTAGGGCCAATTGGGGGGTTGGGGCACCGCCCCCTGTCACACTCAAGGCAGGGTCGATGGGGAAGTTGCGGCGCCACCCCCTGTCACGCACAGAGCAGGGCCAATGAGGGGGTTGGGGCGCTGCCCCCTGTCACTCACAGAGCAGGGCTGATAGGGGAGGTTATGGTTCTCCCCCATCACACACAGAGCAGGGCTCCTGTGGGGGGTGTGGTTGGGGAGCCGCATGCTGTCTCACACAGAGCCGCAGGGCAATCAGGGGGTTGGGGAGCTCCCCCCTATCAGGCACAGAGCAGGGCCGATCAGGGAGCTGGGGCACCGCCCCCTGTCACACACAGAGCAG